AATTGGATTAAAAAATTACACAAAAAATGAGGAATTTCAAATGGTTAATTTGATACTAATATCGATATATTTTTGTCAAATTTTTATGATATCGTCAAACATATATTTTATTCAAAAACAAAAACATTATCGCTTTTTCAAAATCACATAAAGCTATATTATAACATCGACTGAGATAAAGAATAAAATGAAATACTAAAAACATGATGTATCACGCTGCATTGCGCGAGTACGCTTCTAGTAAACTGTAATATATAAAATCAAAAATATAAAATAATAATATAACATGAAATAATAAAATAATATATATTTTAAATATAAATATATAAAATAAAACAAAATTAATAAAATATAAATATATAATTAATTGAGTTGATGTTTAAGACAAAAAAATGATTGACACAAAATTTAAAACAATCAACACCTCCTCTAAGCACCCCCCTTATTTTCCTTTATGTTTTATAAAAGAAGATTTCAATATTAATAGTTGATACCACTTATAAACCGTACCTCCAAGTATGATTTGATTTGGTTTAATATTGTATTTTTGTCCTTTTATTATGCATCTCTACATCATATAAACAAAACATTATAACTATATCAAACCAGAAACTAAAATTAAGACCAAATCAAACCAAAGCTCAGTATATCCTAATCCAAAGGTGGGGTCCGGGAAAGTTATAATGTATGCTGAACCGGTTCGCAAATATATAGATCCAAGTAGGGATGGATCATATTCTTGTTTCAACCAAAACTGAACCGGATAGAATTAGTTGCATTTCATAAGTCTAGTTAGTCTAGAAAATACAGCGTGTTGGTTAAAGGGGCTACAGAATGTGCTCAATGATACCTATTGAAATAGTGAAGGTAACAAAGAGTCGACAAACCAAACAAACCAAGCATATCCCACCTGGAGGTAGTATTTGGAAGGATAAAATGTGTGCAAACCTTACCCCTCTCAAGATACAAAGATGTTTTTTTCCGAGAAGATCCCTGGAAACTTCAACGCCTGCAAATAAGCACCCAAAAATGTGGTAATGGCATAACCTGCTAGCAGGATGTTACCTACAAATTACTAGCAAGTCTTGATAGGGTTACAACTCCTCATGATAAAGATGAAGCCCAAGACCAAAACGGGCACAAGCTCGACGGAATGCCATGGCTTCGGCCTTCTGCACTGGATCACCATAACCTACCTCGTCAATTGATGAAGTTCCAGTTGACTCCCTAAATATCTGGTAAAAGAATCAACACACAAGTAAGTTCTGTTCGTGCCCTGCCCCAAGAGCATCATGTGAGAGAAAAATCAGGTTTACAACGACCTACTAGGTGGTTAGCTTAACAGCACAGTGCCCACAAAGAACCCAATCCCACCAAAGAATCATTTGTCAGGAGGTATCTGGATTACCGGTAGAGCCCAACCTCCAAGGAGGTGAAGGATTCAAACCTCACCATAGATGAGGAGTGTGTGTGGATATTTGTCATATATAAATGTTATATAATTCAAAAAAGGAACAATGCCCAAATAAATTGTAACTCCCACATTGTGGCTAGCAGACTCAAACCTTCGCCTGATTGTGCAAGTATACCACCCCGGAACCAATTGTCTACACCCCTGGAGTGGCAAATAAATTTACATGCCAACACAATTCATGCCTTGCTCCTTATGATCAACTTACATTTGTCACCAACACCAACAAAATAGACCACAATAAAAAGATAAAAAAATCAAGAAGGGCTGCATTTAGATGGCCTTAACTTTAATGTTGCCTGGATAACTTATACGAGCATGAGCATGAGCAAGAACTAGATATCGTTATTCAGATACACCCACGCTTCTATATACATCTGGGGGCAGATTATGGCATTGAGTAGGATTATGTGACCATTAAATCCAATAAAAAATGAAAAGCACGTTTTTAATAATGACAACAAGACCACTATGAAGTAAACTGTTCTTGCTGATTTAGGTCAAGAAAACATCTGCAGGTCATGTTTATTGCCATGGCACAGTGTAAGACATATCCCCGCCATCCCAGCAAAAATCCAACACTTTCCTACTTAAGGTATTCCAAAAAATGGAAAGTTTCCTTTTCTGGGCAAGTTTTTGATCCAAATTTACTTTTTTGCATCCACTATCTTTCTTTTGTTTTTTTCATATTAAGGAGGCATTTTAGATATTTAACTGATGGTCAAACATTCTTATTTAAATTATGTGTCAAGTTAAAGTTTGCACAACATTTTCTGCAAATTTATACCAAACAATGAACAAGAGCTAATGAAGTTGCACAGCAGATCATGAACAAGGTTAGTAGGAAGTGAAAAGTAAAAGTTATACCTCTGCATCAGTCCCATAAATTGTTACCCGATAAGTAACGGAAACAGACTTCCCATCTGCAGAATAGTCGATCCTTCGGACTTCCCCAGACCATTCTACAATAGGTTGAGAATAAAAAACTAAATACCCAAACAGAAGTCATACAAAATTCAGTAAATAAGAATTTATGATCTTTGACATACCTGGAGCATGCAAATTCATAATCCTATTCACGATATGCCTGGCAATAAGAATGGAATATCATGTTAGCGACATAATTAAATATATATAGTGTTTATTGTGCTCACACACCTCAATAATCGTACTTTGTAAAAACTGGCCAGACTAGCACAAGAACGTTTTTTTAACACATTCAGGCACATGTTAGGGGTACTTCTGTCCTCACACCTGTGACATGAGTTATTGGAGAAGGAAATCTAGGGTAACAGACCACGGATTGGAATCTAGACAGGAGGAAGGGAGTTGGAGAGGCAGAGGGTAGGAGATAGAGTTAGTGACTTGGTAGTTAGGTTAGAGGAACCCTAGGTTAGACCAGAGGTGGTAGCTTCCACACCTTGGTTGTGTTTTTCATGTACTTGCTTCTATTATAATATTGTTGCTCTTACTCATATCTAGTTTCTCAAAATTTAGCATATCTTTCTTTCTCTCTTTCCATTGGTATTGCTATTGCTTAATCGTATCTAGTTTTTTAGATTTTAGCATTTTTATAATTTTTTTTCCTTTAACACACTTTTCATTGGCCGGGTATCTTCATGGAAACTTTAAGATAGAGGTCAGGTCTGCATACATCTTACCACCATACCCCTTCTCCGGATGGGATATACTGAGCTCATTTGGTTTAGCCCATAGTGACTCCAATCTCTCTTTACCTTCGGAGCTCCTATTGGATCTGTGACATTCATTTGCGGTGGAGGCTGAAGAGAGATTGGAGTTGCTCCTGATTAAGGGGTGTACAGAGGAAAAAACATCCAATAAATTTGGCATGTGCCTGAACAGATATAAACAACAGGTATTTGTGGTAGTCCATAAAGTACTTTGAATGTATGACGAGTTTTGAAGGCATTTCCTTACGTAAACTTTTGTAACGATTTTCTTTTTAAGATGACTATTGATGCTAATGACCAATACTATGATGACTTTGAATGCACAATGCCATCTTTTCTGAAACCAAAAGAGCATTTGATGAGGTTATTCTCCATGCATCACATAATAACTACAAAACACTAGTTGGTACAAATCATTAGGTAATCTTTGGTCCTTTTTGTTTATTACTTGAACATATGTATATAGGGGTGGCCGGGTGTTTTCACATAAACAACTGCTCTACTCTTCAGGTCTGCTTTAGGTGGGACATACAGGGTTTGTTTGGTTTGGTTTTATACGTATACAGGGGCAGTATTTATAAGGCATCCCATAATGAACCCATTCTAGGAAAACAACTCTCGGGAAAAAGCAGCTAAAGCCCACTAGGTAGACTCACATTTTTCAGGTACTTCAAGTATTCATATAGCCACAGAAGTTTTTCAAAGATACATAGAAAGTCTCAATAGCAGTGGAAGCCTCTGAACACACAAGCCCAGCAGTTTAAGTAGAAAGCATTCTTCCTCAATCACAAATCATAATAAGCCAGCCATAAAAGTTCACTACCAAAATTCCAAAAGTGGATTAGGCAGCCACCTATAATAGACAGTGCCTAAACCATTTTGGCTCCGTACCAAAACAAGATATTATGTCTCTGATTGTGTATCATTGAGCATTATCGCTGTATATCCATGTTTAAAACAATGTTTTCATCTGATGTAAACTATGGTTTAAGAGTTTGTTGCAATCATAACAATTTTTTGGAAAATGAACCGAGATTCTAAAGGAGAACTAAATTGTGATGACAAAGAGCAAAGCAACAATTTAGCTCAACATACATCGCTAGTAACTAAAACTATGATTACAAGTTATTGGTACTTCGGTAGTCAACTAGCAACTACCATGGGAGCTCCTAAATCACATTCACAACAGGATGCAACAATTCTGCAACTTACATTCTTATGGTCCTCGTATTACCAGAAGATAATCCCAAGCAAGATCTCAAAAGTCAAAACCATTATTTTTCACAGATGTGTGAGTCCCAACACATTACAGATTTGAAGACCTAGCCATATGGCAGCAAACTTGATGAACATCATCCAAATCAACCAAAAATATGGCTAGAAGTTAAAACTATCCCACCACCAACGCATTCATAATTCCAATTTGTGAGAATATGTAGAACCCCATTAGATTAATATCCAAAAGACATCATATATTGGAGAAAGTGGGTCAAAGTTCTGGAACTCCAAACGCCCCTCCTCCAACCAAGGCTACACAAATGGACACATATCGTCTAAAAGTGCCGACTGCCGAGTGTGGTCTAGACAGCTGAGAGGGCTAGACGAGCACATTTTGCTCTGATACCATATAAGAATACAAGAACATGTGGATCCACAAAAAACAGAAACAATTTCAACACGAACAAGACATACTTTATCGAAATATTTTCTATACGTTGTCCCCATAGATAAGGCATACAATGCTTCTATCCATAAGTAGTAGTAGTTCATAGAAAATGAACGTCCAACCTAATGAGAAATCTTACACTTCGCAAGTTCTACATTAAGAAAAAAGAAACGAAGAGACAGACGGACAAACCATGGAATATATTTGATAGAGAAACCATTGGCTTCTGTACGGGCTCTGATGAGAGAATCTGGAACTTTCTTATTCAGTTCTTTAAGAATTTCTGATATCGGACGACTTATCCCTGACGTAGGAATGTCGTCGTCAAGAGGAGGAGGAGGAGCTGGTATCTCATAGGCGGCGATTATCTCTTCTTTTTTGGCTCTCTTTGTAGAATACAGTAGACCGTGAGCAGACAAAGCACTTTTTGCTCCGACTAACTCCGATGATGTCAATCGCAATGCTGCTGACAGCGAGTTCGTAGACTTCTGACTCAGTGATTTCATCAGACAGAACGCCATTGTTTCAGGAACCAAAAGCCCCTTTGAGGGTTTCCCCAAGAACTTATGCGGGATCAAACTCAAAATTTCGGCTGGAATGTCCAAAACAACCCCTATGCTTTGAAGTATTTTCATATATAACCCTGACTTTCTAAGATTTACTCAAAAGATCATTTTCAATATTTGAGTCTTTGATCAATTGACATATGACCCTTAAAATGGCACCAATGCTTGAATATTCATGTGTGATGGTGTGGACAGTTATTGGTTAGTATCTTTAGACAAATGATCGTGTGAGAAGAGAAGTCATGGTGAAAAGCGTAAGATATTTGTACTCTTATCACTTTTAATCTTATGTTCACCCATGAATTGTGTTTTAGAAGGCAATTGATCCAGTGCATCTCATTAGTGTTGATCTTCAATTAGGATTGAGCCAAAGATAGAGATCCTTTGTTACGGTTCTCACCATAATTTCCCTTCTCACCACTACTGTAACAACTCCCCAAGCAAAAACATACCATTCCAACCCAACGCTTACATAACATAACATACATGTATATAAGATAATACTAGTTTATTTACATACAATAGATCAGATCAAAACTATACAACGTGTTTGATCTCAAACAAGAGTTGATTTAACATAATCAAAGGTAAGACAAATGTCTATCGTATTTTCCCCTTGCCTTTATTTTCAGTCTCGCGCTGTCCTGCAAAAATAAATTTTACAACAACTGAGAATTAGACCGAAAGTTCTAGTGAGTGAATTCCCTCATATAACATTTTACACATTCATAAAATTTTAATAATAAATTCAATCCAGATATCAGCTATTAAAAACCGTACAACTGTCCTTCCATCCATCAGAGGTAAATCTACCAATCATCGCGGTTGCCCTACCATTTATCATAAATATGCCGCCAATTATCGCGGTTGTCCCGCCATTTTTCACAGATACCCTGCCAACTATTGTGGCTGGCCTACCATCTATATGCAGGTATCCTGTCAACTATCGCGGTTGTCCCGCCATCTATCACATGTACCCTGCCAACTATTGTTGTTGGTCCGCCATCTATTCGCAGGTACCTTGTTAACTATTGTGGCTTCCCCGCCCTCTAACGCAGATACACCACCAAATATATGAATATAATATATAAACATAATGATTTAACATCGGGGAATATTCACAAAGAATAATAAACTGGTTAAACATTCTCATCGAACAGTATATGGTCGAGGACTGCCCTCATCGGACATACTTGGGGATATATGCCCTCATCGGACAACACTTGGGCGATGAACACCCTCGCCGGTCAACACTTAGGCGATGAATGCCCTCCCCGGACAACACTTGGGCAAGGAATGCCCTCATCGGACAACATTTGGACGATTAACACCCTCACCGGTCAACACTTGGACAATGAACACACTCACTGGACAACACTTGGGTGATGAACACCCTCACCGGACAAAACTTGGGCGATGAACGCCCTCACCGGACTACACTTGGGCAATGTATGTCAATACATTTAACACAATAACACATTTAAGCGATGAGGGACATCATCGGATAAAGTTATGGTCGATGAAGGGCCTCACCGAATAAAGCTTTATACTATGAAAGGCCTCATCGGTTGAAGCTTTGATTGATGAAGTAATATACCAGACTTGATAATGTTATTTTGACACTTTAACACAAAATCTAACATCATAAAGCAAAGTAGCGATTATATAACAGATAAAAACTCATAATTTATCATGCCATAAAAACTCACCTTGTATGAAGCTGGCCGAATACAGAATCTACTTAATTTTCTTAGTTTCTTCCAGAAAAAAAAATTAGATGAAAGCCAAACCAGGAAAACCCTCCTCTACCTTCACAATTTCTATTTATAGAAATTATGAGATGAGGCGGTGCATGCACCAGCCTCACATTTCCCCATGCATTACCTTATAAAACATCTAATTGGACCAAAAACTTAGTTAACAGATGGAGGTGATGAAAATTTTCACCTATGCTCCCTCAATTTCCAACAAATGTCAAATTTAACTCCTAAACTTTTCGTTCATAAAATAACTTCGAAACCCGACCAACAATGATATAAAACCAAATATTACAACTACCTCCTGAATGAAAAGATCATATTGTCTAAAATTCTTTATCAATGTCAATGGTTATAACTCAACAACAATGGGAGTCCTTATGGAAACAATTGGCACAGTGATTAAACCTAAAGAATCAATCTTATCAATCTCATCCTCTCATAGTTTTGGCGGCAGGTCGCAGATATTGAACTATCTGGGATATAAACATTTGAATCTAGTATTTCTGAAAACTGTTTTACAAGGTAGAGCATTGTTTGGACTTGTTTACATTGTTGGATTTTGAATATAAAAACAAACGTTTGAATTGAACAAATTCCCATATGAACAAAAGAATGTTCAAACGATATAAGACTTGAAGAATAGGACTCTTCAGACAAACACGGAGTTGGAACTTTTTGTATTAACTTATGGATCGAGAATCAAGGAAGTTAGTGTATAAGTACAAATACGTTGAGGTTAAATTGCTTTATACATACATACATACATATATATATAGACGAATTATCGTGTGAGAAAAAAGAGTTAAAGTGAGAAGCGTAAGAAGAGATCTCCACCCTTGATCACTTTTAATCTCATGACCACCCATGAACTGTGGTTTAGAATGAAATTGATTTGGTGTATCTTGGTGTATCTCATTAGTGTTTATCTTCAAAAAGGATTTAAGGGTGGAGGTCCCTTGTTAGCATCAAATTGATCCTAATAATTATCTCAAAAAGTTTTATTAAGCAATCGGGGCTAAGGATGGAACATCTGAAGATGTTGTTGTGCCAAAACATGTTGTTGTGCCAAAACGTCTAAGTCTGGAAGAAGACCAGCCGTTGTGCTAAATCGACCAAGTATGGACGACCAGAGCCTCTGTAAGCAGCACCAGAGCCTCTGTAAGCAGAACCAGAGCCTCTGTGAAGAGACACCAGAGCCTTTGTGAACGACCAGAGCCTCTGGTTGTATTGACCAGAGCCTCTGGAGGACCAGAGCCTCTGGTTGTATTGACCAGAGCCTCTGGAGGACCAGAGCCTCTCTGGTCGGTCTATCCATTGGTCCTTCAGACGACTATATTCAGAATCCTATTCTGGATAAGGCTAATCCTATTTTGGATAATGCTTATCTTATTCAGTTATCATGAATTACTGTCTATATAAGTAGTGTTTCAGGTAAAAAAAATATACGAGAGCAAATAGAAAATTTATTGTAAACACATAGATTCAGRTACATCTCATGAGAGTCGATTAGGGTTCTTGAGAGTTTGTAATTTTCAATTCAATAAAGAAAGCGCCGTCGATTTCTATTTCATCTTTTTCTTCTACAAATTTCTCTTGAATTTCCTTATTAAATTGTTCTATTGTCAGATCTGGGTTTTAACAGTTACCATTGTCACCATAACTTCCCTTCTCATCGAAAACCCAACCTTATATATATATATATATATATATATATATATATGATTGGGTTCCAATAAGAAAGAATGTTTGAATGAGATGCACCAGATCAATCCTCGTATCGAGCGCAATTCTGTTGGGTTACGGGATCTCAAGCACAGCGGAAAATAAAACCGTAACCCTTCAAGGACCTATACGAACCGGAACAAATCGTGTGTTCCGAAATTATACCTTGTAGTTAGCGAAACTTTGAATCACAGCAATAAACAAAGCTTGATGCCTCCACGGTATCCACGCAAAGAATTTGAATCATTTGCCTTCTCGTGATGCTAGTCACGGTTTCAAAAATTAGAAAGAAAAGGGAGCATATTGTTGTAGGTGATTTTTGAGAGAGAATTGCAAGACCAAAAAAGAACTAGCATAAAATGTCATACATTTTATATGGATGTGAGAGGTATGGCCTAACCATCACCATGCCTCCACTATGCTTGAGTGTAGGACTTTCACACACCATCACTCTCTTACGAAGCTCATCCCTAGTCATCTTTATTCATGTCCAACATAAATAATATATGATATTATTTAACTAGATTAAATCGATACATATCAGATATGATAATTAAACCTTTTAATTATTGAAACTCCTTATTCGAATATATTCAAAACGTGTGACCCAATGGGTTCTTGATATGTTGGTAATAAATATAAATCTCATAATTATAGTTATAAACGATGAGCGGTATCTAGCAATACATCACCGTTACCCAAATGACGAGAATTAGTGATGCATCAAGTTATCGATTTGAAGTCAATTTTAGAAAATATTTAATTACTTTGTCCTTGATGTCCAGATTGAACACGAGACGTTGAATGTGTCATTCTCGTTATGTCCAATCTCTAGTTTCTTGATTCCCTAATATACTAATAAAAAATAGTTAATGATATCTCATATCAATTATCTAAGTATGCATGCATTTCTTTGGTATATATTTATCAAGGGGCCCAGAGACATCACTTTTGTCATAAAGGAGGGACAAATCCTATCTTGATACATGCTAATTCTATCATGTGATATACAACACATCCAATTATCATTCTGTCACCCAGTTACGAACTGATTAGAATAAATGTTAAAATACATAACTCACACACAACAAACTCCATGTTCTCAAGTCAAAGAATTACATGTACATTGACCATATGAGAAACACTTATGACACTCACATGACATCCAATGAAGTGTTCTCATAACGAGTCACATTCTATACACAAAATCTCCATTTTGTACCCATATGTAGATTCGATATCTCTATATGAATCCCTACATATGCTAGTCATTATCATGTTAATTTAACCTTAAACCCGAAATAATATTTAACTAGGGACATTTAGAATACATTATTCTAAGGTTATTTATTATGGATAATTAAAACACAGAATATAGTATAGACTAAAATAGGCAATGCCTTTTTATTTATTTATTTATTAATTTCATGAAACAACTCAAAGTTACAATCATCATATGATTGGTTTTTAGGCATTCAC